CTTTGTAGCGTAAAGAAAATCGAAGAGCGGGTTTTGGCAAAATTGCGGCGACTTCGGCAAGACTAGGAAAGTATCGTGGAAGTATAAGCAAATGGAACTTCCGCAACGATACGCAGCAAAACTAGCGCAACCGTTGAGCTGATATCGCAGCTTGCGTCTTCTGCGACATGTTTGATCGCTTTCCTTTCGCGTGTACGTGCCTCTGCGTCGTTTTGTTACACGTTTTTTGTGAAATCTTACTTTTCTAAGATGAACATTCGCTGTTGCACTCTCAAATCAGTACCAATAAAAGCTACACTGCTTCAAAAACTGCATTACGTACCTATCGAGCAGTTGAAGCTCCGTCTACGAAACAAGGTCACATTTTTTTTTTTGAGGTTAAGAGGGTGAGCTTATGTGAAGTTAAGTGTAAGCATTTTAACATGTTTTACGAACACCCTTTTGCAGTTTCCCTAAAAAACGAATTCTAGTTTGATTTCAATATATGCTGTTGTTCGCTTCAATAGAGGCATGGAAATTAAGGGGGAGAACATGCCAGACTTTATATGGCGTACATCAAGAATTGTAAAATGTGTTTGATAAATGCAACAGTACATAAAGACGGTTAAGTAGATAATCGCAAAAAATTGACAGTACATACATTGACCTGATATTCAACATTTATCTTAATATATTCGCATTCTTCAAAACTCGAATTATTTTCGAGTAGAATACGAAAACACGAACAGCCAAAAACTGGGGTTCCGAATAAAAAGTCCAGGTATCGGAATTGAGATTTTGAACAAATGTCGTTTGAATGTTTCATTCGAACTCGTACTCAAATCACTCGAGTTGAGTGCAGAGCCCTATCGACGAACTGGGCATGTCAGTAACTTTTAGATATTGTTGTCTTAGATGTTCAAATATATTGATCAAGTATTCGTGTATCTGAATGATTTATGCGAATGTCTAGCCGTTTGATTACTTGGAATTCGACCCTCAATGTACGAACGTAACCGCAATTCGTACGCTCGAAATTTTTGATTTCCAGATTTTTGGGTTTGATCATTCGAAGTTTTTAATTCTCGAATCTACTCGATAATTATCTATCTATTCGATGGAAAATTTTGAATTTCTAGAAGTAAACTGCAAATTATATGTAGAGAAATTCGACTTTTTTCAAGTAATCGAACGAGCCTTGTTCGATATTCGAAGGTTTCAGATATTCAATATCCACCGAATCCTCAAATATTGGATGAACATCGCATAATCGACTTTCAAATTATACTCGAAAAGTGAGAATCTCAAATATTCGACTTTCGCAATATATTAGGCTGAGCCTAAAGTTCTGTCGCATCGTTCTCAAAAATTCATAACTTCTGGTTTTTTCAATCGATTTGTGTTTTTTTCATTTTTATCCGAAAAAGCAAATCATTCTATTCATAGAAATCCCTTGGAGGCTTCAATTCAGCATACATTCCATAGCTAGAAGCGGTAGAGGAAAATTACTCAAATTTTCAATTTTTGTGTAGGGTCATAAAAAATCGAAAATTGCAATAAAAATCGGAGCTGTCAGTATGACAGGTTCTTTAGCTGCTATTTCTAATTGTGCAAAGTCTGTGCTAATTGAGCGTCTCGGTAAAAAGTTATGATTTTCGAGCAAGCAATATAAAAGGGCAAATTTGATTTATTTTGGCATTTTTCTGGAAAATCATATTTTTTTATAGAGACGCTCAGTCAGCACAACTTTGTACAGTTAGAAAGGCCATCTAATAGAACCTATTATATTGACAGCTCCCATTTTGACTGCAAGTTGCAAATTTTTTATGGCCCTACACAGAAAATTCAAAATTTGGGTAGTTTCCTTCTGCCGCTTATAGCTATGCAATGTATGCTTAACAGAAAGCCGCTAAGGTACCTCTATGAAAACAATGGACTGGTCTTTCATCTAAAAATGAAAACATGCAAATTGGTTAAAAAATCCAAAATTTTTATGGTGCGACAGAACTTTTGGGCCAACCTAATATTTGAAGTTTCAGATTTTTGAGTATTTGAATTTTCAAATCGTTTGCATCGAAAGATTAATTCAAAAGATCAGCTAATCATTCGACTCGGTCTAAGCTATACTGTCAATTCAATTGACGACACCTCACTAGTAGTTCGTTAGCAAAACCTTATATAGCAGAACGTGGATGTGTAATACACCTGTCAAATTTCCAATCAAGTTGAAAGAGAGAAGAAGTAAGAAGAAATTCCTGGTCACAGGTTCAATCTAACAAGTGGTGAGATAGCGCGGATGACGATACGCATATACTTAACGGTGTGTGGATAATATGCTCCAATGTGAGTTACCTCACAAGCGCGCACAACTCAAATTAATGCATAAACAAATGACTTGTTCGAAGCGTACAGCTGATCATATTACACAAGTTTGGACCACACATATGTCTTATATATATGTCTGCATGTCTTTCTGTATGTGTAACATATGTTCCAAATGAAATGCATTTGTGAACCGTCTAAACCAAACTTTTTACACATATGTACGGGCCTTATCAAATGCAGTGTCTCTTGCATCAGCACCTTCACTCCCGCGTTGGAAACTGCATCTCTTCCGCGAACATGCTCTCTAAGCATTTTCCCAGGGCGAGCGTGGTAAAGGCGGAGCCTCAATCGATTGGAAGTGATTGGAGAGCATGTTTGCGGAAGAGACGCAGAGTCCAGCGCGGGAGTGGAGATGCTGATACAAGCGACACTGCCATTGAGAAGTCCTAAGCCCTGGTCGTTCGTAAAATCGTGACGACCGATTTGACTGCGGTCTTTGCGCCTACAGAAACAGAAAACACTCATACAAAAAGGCATCACCTCATTTCTCAGCTCAGTCTCTTTCAATGTTTCAAATTGTCATACGTAACCGTTCGAGTAAAGATGAAAACCTGAAAAAAGGCGGTTGCCGGGAGGTGCGTGCGTGTCGCGTGCGGTCGCGCCACCATCACGATTTTTCGAATGCCCTATACACTTTGGGACGGGTGTCGCAGGCTATTTTTTGTTATCGATCGATATCGGTTTCATCGAATTCTTGAAAACTTTGAGCCGCGTGGCTGAGAATTGGCACAGAAGCTAAACAAGCATGCTGAGTACGATAGAATAGATACTAACTTTTAAAGTATCGATTACCTTGATCGATTTTCTTGATTTCTTGCATTTTAAGCCACGAGCCTGAGACTTGGCACAGGAGCTAATGAACATGCTGATTATAAATAAATAGAGTATTGACACTCAAAAATACAGGTTACTTTTATCAATTTTTATTTTTTGCACTTGAAGGCAATGTCCCGGCAGAATTTCGCTCTCCGTTTTTCATCTACTTGGAGTTTTCTCGCCATACTAAAATATCTGAGCTTTTCAGCGATTGAAAGTGGCAAAAATGAGCTTTTTTGGAGCTCTCCGTATCCACGTTCACTCTAGATTATGTGTAAGATGAGGGCGAAGTCTGGGAGTGGGTACTCCAGGGTAGAATCGATATTCATCAAAAGCACTAACCCAGTGGGTTCCGGAACCCACTGGGTTCCTTGATGAATACGGCCACAGAATGCAATGGACTTGTAATCAGGGTTGAGCTTGGGGTCAGGCGCGCCCGACCTGGGGGTCGTATTAGGAGTAAGAGGGGAGGGGGTCGTAATCAAGTCTTGTTCACAAAATGGAGGGGATGCTACGATTGAGTGAGGTGAAGGAAAAGAGCGCGAGACCAGTGAATATAAGTTTACCGGAGAGGGAATGACTGTCGTTAATTGCATCTTGGTTAACTCCACTAACGCAGTTTCTGCCAACGGTAACTGTCAACGGTCACCAAAGAGGTTTGCCGTGTGAAGTGGGTAAGATTTCCGTAATCAGCACGCCAAGTTACCTCTACAAGCTCACCAAACCACCACTTGTCACGTTTTCTAGTGTTTCCTAAAGTCTAGGCAGCGTTATTTTCAAGCATTATTAACTTGGTTACAAAGGTAAAAGAAGTCTGCTTTCTTGTGCTCAAAACGAAGTAGTGCTTTTAGTCAGTCTAAGTTAGAAAGTGGATCTCTTATGACTTTCTCAAAGTGGACCAAGAAGCGTTGCCAATTTCAATTATCGCGTTTTCCATCTTAAGTGCTTCTAATCCACCGACCACCACAAAGCCGGAACAAGACCAAGTAAGCTTAAACACCTAATGTTGAGTCTTTGAGGTTTGTTCTAGCGAATCACATAAAACTAGGATGGAAAAGATTTTTCAAAGTTAACCGGGTTAGGCGCAACCCCCCAAAAGCTCAGGCCGCCTGAGCTTTTGTAGTCTTGCGCTTGACCCTCTTAACTTGCCTTCAAAATCCAAAAATCGCTCCATTCCTGCTATGAATATTGAGCCCATAGCATCATCCTACTACAGTGAAAATTTGGAGCCAAACACCTCAGCCTTGAAGAAATTATGATCCTTGCAATGAACCCATTCAGATCAAAATCAACTCTCATCACGTGTGACTGTAAAGTGCAATCACAGAAAATCGGGCGTAAAGACAAAAATTAAAAACTCTTTAGGATGGTTTCCTTCAGAATGTCGCTCGTAGAAGTTCTGGAGGTGAAAAGGAGGAAGAAGGAGGTCGTTTGGGGTTTATCTTGAGGGGGGAGGGGTCGTTTTCAAAAGACTGACCTCTTGCTCAACCCTGCTCGTAACAGTTGTCTTGGTGGGAGAATCGCGAGGCGATGAAGTCTCGTCATGTATGCTCGGCCCTTTACCCATTGCATGTTGCATTTCGCTTGATAGTTTGGTCGCGTCAAGTATGCCCGGCCCTCTGATCAGCCATATCCGCGCGATATACTTAGCCACACATAGCCATTTGTTCAAAAACAAGATCCGACCGCACTGAATCATCAAATTACCGAATGTGAAAGCAAGTATGTCATCTTAGCACTTCGATATCAGTCACGATGGCTGCTGGCCAAGCGTAAATAGCTGAATGTGGTAGGCAAACTTCATTTCACTTGTTTCTACTATGTCGGTCACTCCATCCAAGTCGGCACCTCCCAAACAAGACGTTGCCAAGGACAAAAAAGAGGAAGACAAGGTCTGGTACTCCTTACTTGCTCACGAATCTGCTGAATCGAAGTTACGTTGGTGTCTACGAAGAACGTAATAGCTTTGGCTAGTGCGGGACACTATACAGAGCTTATATCGACGCTCAATGGCTTTGGCAGCACGATCTGGTCTAGACTGCGGAACACGAGTGGCGCGGTATGAATTTCATGATAGCATAGCTAGCACAATAGAGAACTGTACTGATACAAGCGTTTGGTCAAGCGCGCTGCAATCCAAGCTAGCTTAAGCAATTCGCATTTCTACGATAACGCCGATTGCAGTTTCTAGTATCGTTCACAATCTCTGTGAATCGACTTTGAGAGACTTAGGTCTTGAAGCGTTCATTAGTCTCTCTGGTGCGTTTTGCTTCACTTTCAAAGCAAAAACTTGAAGTGTCAAACAAGGACAGATCACAATCACGACCATGGCCATTGAAATCATATTCAAGGTCGTAAAATGTAAGCTCTTATAACAGACAATGATTACAACAGCGGTTAGCTGGCTTTCCCGGTTCCGTCCGGGTCGCCTCAAATGAACCGGCGCGTTGGAGCACAAAAAGTACATTTTGCCAATTTTCCACAATCACACCCTTTAAATCTCCTACAGTATGCTAGCCTCCCCCCCCCCCTCCCCCCCCCCCCCCAAAAGCGGATCAATATGCTCCGTTGCAGAAGTTTTGCTGAATTAACCCACTATACATAGATAGCCTTGCATCACCGCATCTTTTCCACAGCGAACTTACAATGAGCTCTACTGCTGTTGTTTACGCGAAATCGTGGAAATGATTTGTTAGCGGCTGTTAGAAATTCATTTATATTTATAAGTGTTTGCAAATCAGTAACATTGATAAATGGCCCAGCGAATCGGCCCAAAAATAGCCTACATTCTCCTCTGAGGTCGAAAACACATGTGTGCAATTTTCTGCTAAATCTCCACGCAGAAAACTTCAAAACGATCTCTGCATATGCAAACAAATTTTTCGTTTCATTTATATACGAGCTGGCATCCCGGGTTTCTCCCGTTCTGGAGCCACTCCATCGTGCTTGAACTTCTCATGTAGGGAATACCCTTTTTTGATTCCACTCGTCTTGGGTTCGCTTCCTACCGTTCCTACAACATCTTGATGACCAGCAGATCAAAATAAGCTTCACCGCGCATCCTTCATGACTATGGGGAATTGCACAGACAGAGGCACAGACTCTGCTTTATATATAGAGAAATACAGGGTGTTCCAAAAACGTGCACACCCTCTGATCGTTAACAACTCTCCTGTTTCAAAGTCTTTTGTCGGATTTTAGGTACCATTGAGTAGAGCTGGCTTCAACTCAGATTTGCAGTTGAGGAGCGAACAGATTTGCAGTAGAGACCAACTTCCAATCCCTTTTTGTTACTGAAAATTACGGTAGAAACTTTGGGGAGTGTTTTAAGCCGTTGAGAGTCGCATTTTGCCTCGAGGAAAACCAAACAAGCCAGAACCTTTATGGTAGGCTAATCAGAGTAGCTAATTACACATATGCGATTTGCACAGCATCATCATGCTTCATCAGTTATCCCAGGAAAACCGTAACAACTGCTCTTTCAAGTTCTTTAAAAATATGATTACATCATTGAAAAGCTCAAAAATTGTAAAAAGTTGCGATGAAATTAGCATTTTAAGTACCCTGTTAGACAGTTTTCCATTTGGAATTTTTCCATAAACGGCCTATCTCGGAATGGTGCTGTGGGCTGAAAGTTCATACCGTTGTCCTACAGAAATGAAGAGTGATCGGAGATTCGCTTTATACCGTAAGTCTAAGCTGAAGCAAGCTCTACAGAATGGTGCTCAAAGATCTGCAAACGACACAGAAGAAAGTTAGTTATCAATGACCAAACAGTGTGCACATTTTTGGCACACTTTGTATATAGATACTAGTACTTCACCTCTGCTTCGCGGACGCTTACACTGGCCATTACGAACAGTGTTAGAGGAAATTTGCGCTTCAGTGCCTGTTTTTCACAACATGCCAAAAATGCCTGAGGCGAGCGACCCGTAGTCGAAAATGAAAACCATCCTCCCTCAAATACGGGACACAAACTCCACACAGCTCCAAATTAAACGGCTTATCATAAGTAATAATATGCATGAGGAAGCACATGCGATAATACAAAAAGAACGGATGAGCAGATATAGATAAGCATTAAATCATGCAAATGTGGCAACCGCCCCCGCCAGCTTCACATATCCGTACTGCAAATCCGGCGAGATGTTGCTTGTATCGAGTCATCTTCATACTGCACTCAAGTCTCCGTAAGTGGTTTTTGAAACTTTCGAGATCGCTGCAGTGTCGACCCCTGGCCAGCTGCCTGACAAACCGCTGGGGAAGCGGTTGAGAATAATTAGGTTTGAGACTCGGTAACCATAAACTGGTCTGTAACTTTTTCAAAAGCGCAAAAACAGCCCGAGTTCCTTCCTTATTTACTTTTCCTTCAAGTTCTCTATGTTCATCGAACCTTCAAGATACACTTAAAGAAGACACATCTTCTCAAAGCCTCACCTTTATAAGCTGCGTCTTCCTCGGCCGCGGCGCATTTTAAAACTATTAGATGTGATGCAAACGGTATCCTCCGTCTCGAGATTCGAGGTAAAGATGTTCTAGTTCTGGAGCAGTGAACGCCTTCTTGGTCTAGATCGCAGGTGCGCACTTCAGCAGGTTGGATCCGTGGTGACTTCTCCAGTGGGAGCAACGGGTAAGCAAGCACAGATGATATGAGCGAGAGAGGTTGGTGTAGAAGTTTCTTGATGTACTCCACTAATGCCAAGATGAGGTCCACATCTAACAAGGGAAGGAAAGTGGGTCGAAGTGGCCTTTTAGAATGAGATGGATATCATCTTGTAGGGCTTCGAACGCTGATTTCAAATCAGCCTTCCTTATCTGCGGCGCGTTTTTGGGCGAGGAGTTGTGAGGGTTTTTAGGGGGCGGAAGTCGATACAAGTGCAGTCAGACAGCACACCGCTGTGTGACGTCTGGTGTAGTGGTTAGCGTGGTGGTCTTGCAGGGAGAGGCTCCCAGGTTCGAATCTCTTTCTGTGGGTTTCCTTTTGCTGGGTCAGAAAAAGTTTGTATGAGAACGCGTATCGTCTATACAACAACTCTTCCTTCTTTTAACTGCAAATCTCTCCAAAAAAGTTTTACTATTCTATGTTTTCAAACGTCTATGTGCACTGATGACAATATACGTGCGGGCTGGCAGGCGGGCGTCTAAAATCTCTCGAATGTGCATCGAGGTAGCCGCTGGCGTACAAGGAATAAGCCAAGAGAACAGGCCAGATTATCTTGTAGGTTAACGAGTTTTTGATTTCGTAACTTGTATGCGCATTTTATCAGCTTTACCAACTATGAACGTGGGTCTTTGCATGTTGAGAACATTGTGACCTCTTACGTTCACCGGGTGTCACGTGACAGAATGATTCTTTTGACATTTCTACCTCCACTTTAACTCACTTGCAAAGACCTTTGGAGAGAGCAGTTGTTGCCTCGAGATTCTGATGAAAGAAACAGGGGGTGGTGTATGGACGCTGTTCATGTTCAAACAAATTTTTTGTATGACCAGCAAAACGAAAACCACAGCAGGAGATTCGAACCTGGGAGCCTCTGCTTGCGAAACCACCACACTAACCACTACACCAGACGTCACACAGCGGTGTGCTGTCCTTGATTGTATTTGTATCGACTACCGCCCATAACTCCTCACCCAAAAACGCGCCGCAGATAAGGAAGGCAGATTTGAAATCAGCGTTCGAAGCCCTACAAGATGATACCCATCTTATTCTAAAAGGCCACTTCGACCCACATTCCTTCCCTTGTAAGTAGTATTCACAAGGTCTCAGTCGTAATCGCACTTTGAGTCTTTTTCGATGGGCCAGTCACAACTTAATGTGAGCTTCTTCACCCTGTGACTGTCATAAACAACATTCTTCCCTCTTGCGACATTGTGGCAAACCTTCATCAGCTTTCTTGTGTGATGTAACCGAAGGAGACGGTGATCGGAACTGCGGAAAAATGGACCACTGAGACATAGAACAAACTCCTACGGTTAGTGAAAATGAGATCAATCTTTAAAAGTAGTTTCGAGGGCATTGGCCATATCTATGGCATTGTCCTTGTTTCATTAAGTTGTCTTCACGGGAAAGTCATGCGGCAAAGAGCAGCTCAAAGACACCGTTGCCTTCTGATCCTATATCCCTCTTCTAGTCATCGTTTTCTTTGAAGTGTTGAGAAATCCTTCTACATGCTTTTATGTGGAGATCGCACTTGCAAGGTGAGCCAGTCGATGTGATAGGATCCCTTGTGACTCGACAAGATAGACGATAGATGGCTGGATGACAAAGCCAAGTCCTCCGTTTTGTGATGAAAATTCCCCATCAAGAATGATACACGCCTTTGTCGCACGTCCTTCTTTGTGGCTCTCTTCTGCACAGCGATGGCATTGCCTTCATTGTGCTCCGAAGCCAAGAAAAAGAAGACCGCAATTGTGAAAACCGTCCTAGGGTTGCAGGGGCAGAGCATAAGTCATTCTCTACGGTGTGTCGTCTCAGACGTTCGTGTTTGTCCGTTTTAATTGGCACCCTGACATCGGTTTTGTTGAAGTCGACTGCATGAAATCCTCCGAAAGACTGAAAGCAAAACGCTTGAGAGCGTGCTGAAGCGCGGCTGCCGAGATGGTTTGTGAGCTCGCTTAGCATCGGCGCGCAGGACTTATCACAGCGCCAATAGTTTGCAATCAAGCCAGACACGGCTTTCAACCTATGATGATATGGACAATTTCGTGCAGCAGTTTATCAACTGACACCGTAGGAAAAATCCAATGTGCAGGGTTTACTTCTATCCTTCTTGTGATATAATTGATTTTCTTCGACAAGCAAACTTACAAATGTGCTCTCGGCCTTGTACGAGCGATAGTTAGCCCTGAGATGTGAAATGTGGTCCGCCAGCAATTTTTATCCGTAGCCAAACAGCGGGTGGCCCTATCCACTCTTGACTAGGCACCCAGCCGAAGCCGAAAATGTTGAAGTCTTTTTGAGCTTGGGAGACCCTGCCAAAGCCACTCGACTGTGGCACTTAGTACAGCCCCCCCCCCCCATGACCCGTTTAGACGGCGGACCATAGTGAGGGCACTGGAAGAGTAGAGAACCTAAAAGTCGTTGTGTTTGGTGTGTTTATTTATACTCGTATTAACTATACATACTTTTTCAGAAACAAGTAACAGCTATTTCTGCGGAGGTACGTGAGTTATAACCACGCTTGACTGCTTTAAGCACTTGTATGCTTGTAACAGTTTAGAAGAAAGGTCCTTTGCTTAAAAGTGCAGAGAAAAGAGAAGCTGACAAGAAGAAGAGGAAAGAGAGAGTTGCAAAAAGGCAAAAAATGAAGGAGAATGATATCCTCAAAAGCGACAACTTCACGTAGGTTTTCAATATTGTTGATGTAAACAAATTAACAGCTCGAAGGTGGCACATAAATAAGTTGCTGGGTTCTGGTGGCTTTGGAGATGTTTACAAAGTAGTAAAAGAAAATGATGCCGATAAAAAGGTTTCTTAAAGACATTTTCTTCTGCTCTCATTATTCAATCCTTAAGGAGTACGCAATGAAAACAGAAATGTGCGAGGGCGACAAGCGCATGCTTCGTTTGAAAGTTGAAGTACGCGTACTCGGACTCTGTCTAAATGTTGAAAATCCCGAAAAGCGGAAGCATTTCATAGATCTCATTGATCGAGGGAAAACGGAAAAATTTAAGGTAGTCAGAGCTGATGTCAGCGTCAGAAAATGTGTAGGGGATTATATGTCGCCAAAAGGAGACTGCCTTCGCGGTCATTTGCAACAAATACGCACCTTTGCCCATGCATAGATGTGCGTTTTTGCAGGAAATCGTGCGGGACTCCCCAAAATTTGGCGACATATAGTCCTCCACCCTCGGAAAATTCAATGTTCTTTAGTTCATGGTAATGAGTTTGGTGGGTCCATCACTAGAAGATATTCGCAAGAACATAGTCGGCCGGAATTTTTCCAAATCAACGAGCATGCAGGCTGCATACCAAACATTGCAAGCAATTGGCGATCTTCACGAAATCGGTTACCTACACAGGCAAGCGCTTTGCAGACAGTAAAGAGTTCGCGTCCGGCGCTCTGCAGCGCCATGCCAAAACCGCGCTAAAGCAGTGCTGGAGCTTATATAGACGCGTTCCGCATCGATCTCTTGGTGCTCCAACACTACCACGGTGCTGGCACGGGACATTCTCAAAGCAGCCTCACTCATCGAACAATCCCTCCGATTGAGTTTACATTCAGGGACATAAAACCTCAAAACTTTGCTATAGGATTAGGTGAAGATGAGAAAACAATATACATGCTTGATTTTGGAATTGCCAGAAAGTACACAGTGGGAAACACTAAGCAAGTCAAGTGCGTTCTGCACAATACCGTTTGAGTCTAGAACAATTCTATATGTAGAGTTCCTCGACTTCAAGTAAAGTTTCTGGGAACGCTCCGATTCGCTTCGCGAGCGTGTCACAACGGAATTGAACAAGGCAGAAAAGACGATCTGGAGACTTGGATTTACATGGTTTAGTCAAAATCTCATGGTCAATCACTCAAACTCTCGATTTTCGTATGATTTAGGCGTTTGACCTAATCGATGACGAATGTGGAATTCCTTGGAAGCGTTTGCCTGACCGAACACAAGTCGTGGTCTACAAAGAGAAATTTTTTCGATTTCACTGTAAGCTCCACCTTCATGTGGTCGTTCATTAGTTGCAATATTTTGCAGTTCCCAGATGTTATCGCTTGGTACCCAATGAGTTTAAACGCATATTAGAATATGTAAACGGCATGACATTTGCGGAGGAGCCGGATTACATGTGAGTGTGGTATTTTAAATAATATTAATTTAGTATTATTTTCAGCTATATGACCCACTCGCTTAGATCGATAGCAAAAGAAAATAAAATTGACATGGACAGAAAATTAGACTGGATAGGTAGATCAAAAGGTGACAAACCGCCTACAGCAGAGGTAAAAATTTTTACCGATTCCAATAAATGGACGACAAGAATTACTACTGCATTTTAGGAAGATACGTCATCTGATAACAAAAACACTGGATCTGACGACTCGGAGGATAGCGACAGAATTTCAAGAGGGGGAAAAAGCAAAATTCGTAGAAAATCGGTCGACAAACTTAGTAGCGATAGTAGAAAAAGGGGCAGCACTATTGGAAGAAAGAAACTCGAAGGGGTGGCGGTGGGAGGACAGCAGTAGAAGGACAGCCTCGATTATACTTTCTAATCAGCTTCATTTATCATCTATTTACGTAAGTAAAGTTCACTTGTTTAATATATTTGACACTGCTCTCTTCACCTGTCATAATCTAAATTTCAAAAAAACTTGTCTGCAGTTTGTCATTCGTCTCAATTCGCTCACTTGAATTACTTCTTCATTTGAAAACAGTTTAAAGCATTACTGTTACTCAGTTTGGACAAAGGGTTTTTTTTCCAGATATTCACACTCGGTCAAGCTGCTCTCGATGCTAGTCACGATTCATCGCTGTCTATTAGAATACTAATTGCTTTTTATTGTACTAACAATGTGACAATCTGGAGCAGAAAATTAATTTTATGTGTTTACCACACAGAAGAAAATCACAGTCATTACACTACATACCCTCGACGTCAATCCCTAAGTTACATTTGCAAAGTAGAGTGTTGTGGTGCGGCCGCCTCGCTTTGGGCTCGCGCCACCTTGCGAGCGCATGAGTTGGCATGGCGTGGCAACAGGAGCAACGAAGAAACGTTGCTCTTGTTGCCACGTTTGAACGTGTTGTGGCGCCACGTTGTTTTTAGCGCCACATCATGTTTAAACGATGCTTCAGCAACGTGGCGCGAGCGCAAAGCGAGGCGGCTGCACCACACCACTTCACTTTGCAAATGTAACTTAGGGATTGACGTCGAGTATAATCAGTTAAGATCATCGGCTCTTGTGTGGAGGTGGAGTCTTGCCAGTGAGAGGAAGATATACAGCTATCCCATAGCTGGTTCCGAGATAGAGCGCGATTTACGATTGAAGCAGGGTTTCCTTCCTTAGCATTCAAATCGTGTACGAATGAAGTTTCAACAAACAGACCAAGTAAATTCAGTTTATCAGCGTCCCTAAGGCATCGATACCTGGTTTTTCCCGTGCATATTTTCCTGACTCGCTGCGCTTAAGTATTCAAGAAAGTGGATCCCGCCGCATTTGTGCCAGTTGTAGAGGCGATAGAGCGTGTGCCATCGCGAGCGGTTTTTTTAAGGACGTACCTCTAGTGGCGATATCGCCATAACATCACCAAAACAGAGGAATCAACTCACAGAGTTTGCAACAGCGAAGGGCGATATGTTGCGCCGCTGTCTTTTCTCTGAAAAGATTTCGCAAGTCCTCTTTTGAAATTTTGACTGGCGTACTGTGCGAATAGCACCATATGACCTGCGCTTCCACTGCTCACTTGTTTCCGCTTTCCATGTATCATTCCTTAGTTGTCTTTGTGAATTGTATTGTATTTGGTCAGTGCGACGATGTCGGTCAGTTGCATAATGCATACAGTGCTGGACATAATTATAATGACACTCTGAAAATCGCGTAATTTGCGTTCTTTCTGACGAAACTGTCCGAAACTCTGCTGTATAGTGCGCATGTTAGCTTAGCATGACCCTCAAACAGAGTCAAGCGTGCTGATGCGATCCGGGACCCTCATTCACGACCCCCGCCCATAAAGGTACCCATCCCTACGACCCCGCTCACCCCACCTACCCCTCCGCCCCACCCTCCTCCACTTCCTTTTGCGGTAACCTGCATGAACGACTGTCAATCTCAAAAATGCCTGCCAATGGACCTCAATCAAAATTATGGGTTAGAGAGAGATAACTACTAAAAAATTGGGAGATAATGCAAGTAACACCACTCAAAAAACAAATAACGTAGATTGAGTAAGTACTAAAATTTTACAAATTGGCTATGCTCATTGTAATTGGGAAAACATGAATGGAAAGGACATCATCTGACAAGCAGAACATCGAATTTGATTCGAATGGTATTTGAGATGTACTCTACCCATAAAATTTGAACAAATAATATCCAAGAAAACTTCAGCATTACGGAACGGTTCACTTTAGCCATTATAATTGACTATTTTATGATGACTCCTTTTCTAGTGAAGGTTGCCGCACATTCATAAACGGCAGAAAAGTTAATAAACTTTTCTGCCGTTTATGAATGTGCGGCATAATCCTTTCATGTATAGGAATATGGTTCTGGAAATTATAACGTTTTAGACTTTAATGACATTCCCGTGTTCTATCCCCGTACGCGACAATATTTTTTTGCAAGAAGAAAAACGATATTTTGAAGCTTAAAAATTGTTTTCGACTAAAACCTTACTTTCTATCTAGTGCACAGATTTTCCTGCAAAAAAACCTTAACGCCTTCCAGAACGATGTCAAAAACGTGCATGAGCAAGGTAGTTTGAAAATTCGTAACCAAAGTCAGGAAAAGATTAAGAGGCTCCAATGAACAGGTTTTGTAGTATGCTCAGCCAATTGAAGGTAAAAGTTGCAGCCACACAGGAGCAGTAAGCTCGAAAAAATAGATGCGACTCTAGCAAATTTAGATGCGATCCTAGAAGCCAAAAGCTGGGATTTTTGGGCTCAAAATTCATTAACTCACTGGAAACGCAACGAAACAACCCGAAATTTTTGGGAAAGAAAGTAGGAGGATGGCGTCGTAATGCAGCAAAATTGCAGCAAGCAAGCCTCCATAGCGGCGAAAAAGTTCAGATGCGACCCAGGTACGACCCCCTTTTTTCATTTTTTGTTGCCGTATATAAAATCAACAATCCACAGGCTATCATAACTTATAATAACGGGCTAAGGATGTTTACATGACTTTGTGTGTGTGTCTGTCTGTGTGTGTCTGTGTGAGAGTGTGTCTGTTACGAAATTCGTGGAGCGTGTTCCCGCCAGCGTTCTAAGCCCAAATTTTGCATAGCGCATGCTACCTTCATGAAAGTTCAACATGCAGAAGCATGAGTAAATTCGTTGAGTGGATCCCTCAGAAATTGCGCGCCAAACGGGTCCACCTGGCTTCACCGCAAAATTCGGTCCGTATCACCACTTTTTGCAGAGTCGTGGATGAGTTTGGTAAGCAAATGTGCAAGCGATGGAGTTTAGCCAGAAAAGTGGTCGAAAGTTTACTACATAACGAAAACGGCGCCAAAAAGAATTGGTTGTGTAAATGGTCAATTTGCCAAGGTTCTAGCTAGGCGTTTGAGAAGATTTTCGCACAGGGATGTAGCTCACGGCTACTATTACCTCTATGGCGACTACCAAGCCATGACATATTCAAATTTGCGTTTGTCTTCCTGCGAAAAGTTTCATCCACGCGAAATCACCGATCTCACGTGAAAAAGCTTTCTAAATGAGTGATTGTTTACATTTTATTCATGGTAGTCGGCATAGCGCGGTGAGTTCCAGTGCCACGATTTTACGAGAATGAGTAAGGCACATAGATAGTAGAGCCAGTGCGAGCCTCTGCGAAGCAGAGGTGACGCACTGGTGAAATATAACCAGATTTTCCACAACTCTAGCAGAGCATCTCCAAAGTACAGGTAAATTGTATGGGCCCTTAAAAGACATAATAAAATGGTTTTAAAAATTATCGATGGTCATCGCAGGTAGAGATGAGCGCTTTTGTCGAGAGTGTGAGATTTAGTGATGCTTTGGAACCACGATCTCTAGACCACTTGGTACATTTAACATCCTTGTCACACATACATGCTTAGTGTTTGAGCTTCTGAAAGTATCTTTGGAATCTTCGGTCATACTTGTGGCCAGCAAGTTCGATCCCTATCTGCGACAGCTTTTTTGCAGGAAAAAATGCTGTTTTTTTTTGAAGAGTAGAGAGTGTTTGCGACTGAGAAGCTTATTTTCTACATTCCACACTTTTTTAATTCGGACCACCCTCTCTAACGACCCCCTCCCCTCACCGCCGGTGCCCCCTTTACGACCCTCGTTGCGACAGTCGCATCACACGCTTGACCCTGCCCTCAAAACGTCTTCCAATCTTGCTGAGCTCGAGCGGAGGAAAATAGAAACGTTCGAAAAAGCCCTTTGAAAGACTTATCAATTTGTTTTACTACGTCTGAGTTTTTCCGCAAGTGTATCGAAATGCATTGTTTCTATAAATCGTTTATCCTCTGGACTACAATTTCTCACTCCCGTCCATCAGGTTTTTAGGTAAAGGATAATAGAAACACTTGAGGAATGGACAGACGCTAAGATTCAAAATTCCTCAGCCTCAAAAAAACGCTTTTTTCTAAGCTGCGATCCCTTTCCTGCGGGGATGCCTTCAATGTGGGAGCAGGGCATCAGTGCGGTAGTACTTGGCTGGCAAAAGTTTGACGAGTGTGACGGCCTTCGGTTAAAAAAGCTTTTAATGATGTAAAAGTCTGAGAACACCCAAAGACCTTTAGATGTACAGAAATGATAAACTTTGGTGACTGCAGTCTCGTAATCAGCTGAAACACGGCAACCGCGCGCTTGCTACGCTACGTATCTGCACTCCTTGCTAGCCCATGGCATTGTAAGAGAGATTGAAGAAAATGAGGAGGGAACAAGCAGGTCGAACACCTCTAACTAACCGCAGACATGACGGAAATCCATGAAGTTGCGGAGAGCATCATGACAATTTCGGCCCCTGATTGGGTCAGATTGTAAATGTTAAGCGGCGCATTTAAATACAGCAGCTTTGGGGCATTAGCTTGAAGATGTCAGAGCAAGAAAAGATCAGTAGTTGAGGAAGTTTCATGTAGGAATTTGTGGGTGACAGGAATTGGGGGGGGGGGGGAGGGGAAGGGGAGAGAAGGACGGCATTTTGGCTCAAAAAACTTAACATTATGCCTCAATTATCCCCTACTCCTAGCAACGGCATCAAGACTTGAGTTTGGAAAACCCAAGTATACAGGGTGTGCCAAAAGTATCTATACAGTTGCAGCAGTAGAATGTGTCCAAAATTGCGGGATTGTCGGGATTCGCGGGATTGTCGGGATCCGCGGGATTCGCGGGATTCGCGACTTCGCGGGATTTGCGGGATAAGCGGGATTTAGCTATAACTTCTTTTAAAACAGCTTTATTTGTAATCTGCGTGAAGATTTGGCTTCAGCTTGATAAGGAATCTTCTGGTATACAACATGTCCGTAATTCATAGTGACACGGTAGACATATGGTGATACCTTGTTATTTTCTATGTTAAGGCTTTTGTGAACATCTATCACTGTGTAAATAGCGAATAGTAGCTTCTGGTACGAAGTTCCCATTACCTAAAACTATCGCGAAAAAATGGGCAGTTTGTATTTACCCTTATCACTGATATAAGCATTTTATCATTTATCACTGATAATATCATATTTTTGGATCATTTTTGGCACATGGTAAGAAAAGTAGTGTAGGAAACGCTGTGTGAATTTCTATCGATCTTTCTCTCATTATAAGTGATCTACAGGATTTCCTAGTTCTATTGTTCGGTCAGTTGGTAGATCCCTCGCTGCAGCAATCGATCGATTTCTCATCGGCACATGCCATTGCTGCCAGTTCTTACCTGAAATGGCATTTTCGCTTCAACTCGCTTCACGCCGAAGCCTGGGCTGAAATTCTGCATCTATACGGAAGATGAACGTGGGAATCGACCGCGTGAATTCAAGCCATTCTTATCTGTCGTTATCATTGATATCACCATTTTATCATTTATCACTGATGATATCACGAATTTGGATCATTTTTGACATAAAGTAAGGAATGTACTTTAGGAAACGCTGTGCGAGTTTTTACCGCTCTATCTCTTATAGAATGTGATCTACAGGCTCTTTCGGTTCAATTGCGCATTCGGTGCAGTAGATAGATGCTTTTTCAAAAAAAAAAAATCCACCGCTCTATAAATTGTGAATGAACGGAATCGCCTGTCAACAGGAGTTTCAAAGATGAGCTGAACACTTCTGTTTTCTGCGTATGACTTACAAATCCAGATCCACAAAGGTGATCGATCTAAGGTGCAAAACG